TGTGAAGGTCACAACCCAGGGACAAAGACCCATGAAAAGACAGAGATTTAATCATGGGAGTATAGACAGCCTCCCCTCCCCAGTATGTACCACCATATGAGCAGGGCTCTAATATTATATCAAGCGCATAAAAGCAGGAAAAGCTGCAAGGCAGATACTCTATCTAAGAAAGTATTCTTAAGGAAACCCAAGACTACAGATCAGACAAAAACAAGGACGCTAAAGGAAATTGAAGCCTCAGAGACCCACAGCTACAACAAACAGCAAACACAGTATAACTCCACCAGATAAATACACACTCTCACACTGAATGCCTATTCAGTTACTATTATCCAATAAAAAATTGGAAGCCATGCTAAAAGGCAAGAAAAGTAGTCTGAAGAGACAAAACAAATGTTTAGAACCAGACCCAGATAGGACATAGATTTTGGAATGGTAAGACAAAGAATTTATAACTATGGTTAATATGTCAAGGGCTCCAATGGCAAAAGTAGAAAACATGCAAGAACAGAAGGCTAATGTAAGCAGAGAGATGGAAAAAAAATCCAAAGGAAATGCTAGAAATTGAAACCCTTTAACAGAATTGAAAGAAGCTTCTGATGAGTTCATCAGTAGACTGGATACAGCCAAAGAAAGAATCAGTGAGCATTGTAATATACCCATAGAAACTTCCCAAATTGAAATACAAGGAGAAAAAAAAAAAAAAATGAAGAAAAGCCTCCAGAATAGAAAACCCAAGAACTTTGAGATAATTCCAAAAGTTGTAGCTTATGAGTAATTGGAATACCAGGAGAAGAAAAATTGAACAAATGAAATATTTGAAGTAAAAATGGATGAGATTTTCCAAAATGAATGATGGATACCAAAGAAGAGATCTAGGAAAGCACCAAGCTGTCCCTCTGAGAGAGCACCGAGTATGATAAATACCAAAAAATCTACACATAGGCATATCCTATGCAAACTGAAAACCATCTCAACTAAATGAAGAGCAATCTAATGCCAGAACCCAATGACCTTCAAAATGTGTTAATATCAGATTATATTACATCCCATATACCACATATTATTGCTTTGATTTCATAGAGATCACTTGGTACCCATTTTTTGCTTATTTATTTATTTATTTATTTATTTATTTATTTTTATCCTCACCCGAGGATATTTTTCCATTTTTTGTACAGATAGAGTGGGAGGGAGAGAGAGGAAGGGAGAGAGAGAGAGAAACATCGACGTGAAAGGGATACATCGAGTGGCTGCCACCCGCACGACCAACCAGGGCCGGGGAAAAACTGCAACCGAAGTACGTGCCCTTAGTGGGAACCGAACCCGGGTCTCTCCGGACCGCAGGCCGACGCGCTAACCGCTGAGCCAAAGTGGCCAGGGCCATTTTTTGCTTTTTTAAACATTTTTACCAAAAAATAGTATTTTGCCTTTAGTTCTGGGGGAAATGTTTATTACTTGTTAAAGTGTGTATAAAAGAAAGCTAGATTCTAAGGAAATAATCTTCTAGCCCATGTTTAAGCCATATTAAAGCTAATAGTTTAGGTGTAGAATGCATTTTCTTTGTAAACCAAGTGACAAAGCTATTGGTTTGATTTTAAAGTCTTACTTAACTAATGCTTTTTAAACTTGTATATTCCCAGTCTGTTGGATAGGGCTTTTCTTTGAATATGTTCATATATTTAAACCACAAAGAGGCAAGATTATACCATATCATTTGTGGAAAAGATATGTATACCTAAATCTTGATGAGAAACATGACAACTCTGAAACAGTTTTCTGCTACCAACATGCCATTGCCACACACTCCCAGCTTCATTATTACTAGGAAAAGTTTTTCCTCTATTTTCTTTTTTTTCTTTATTGATATTAGAGAGAGAGAGGGAGAGGGAGAGATAGAAACATCAACGAGAGAGAACACCAATTGGCCACCTCCTGCATGCCCCCCACTGGGAATCAGGCCCACAACCTGGGCATGTGCCCTGACCAGCGACCTCTTGGTGCATGGGTCGATGTTCAACCACTGAGCCACACCGGCCAGGCTCCATTTTCTTTTTTAATGTGAAATATTTTCTGGCACCTTCTACACTCAGGTAGCTGTATTTACTTATTTTGTGATATAAATCTTCATTATAATCTGATATTAGGACACATCTTCAAGGTCATTGGGTTCTGGCATTAGATTGGTCTTTATATTCTATTGAGATGGTCTAATACAAAGGAGACAGACCCACTTACAAAACACATGAAGGGTCCACTAGAGGGCAGCAAAGCACAAACCAAATTTAAATTGGCACCAAAGGCTGATGTTCTCACAAAAAAATTATATTGAGAAATTCAAATTAGTTCAGTGATATAAAATAATTTATGTGCAAATGTTTCTTTTTTTTTGGTCCAAGGTTGAAGAGCAAAATGAGAATAGAATTTGTTCTAGTCCCAGCTCTTTCACTAATTGAGATTTGGGCAATCTACAATTTGCCTCTCTGGTCCTTTTCTATGGTACACGGATTTGCACAAAATGATTTTTACTGTTCTTTCAATTTTAAAATTCCATGGTTTATGAGTTCTGATCCTATTTTATTTTAAAATTGTATTGATTATGTTTTTACATGATTTGGCCAACCATAACTTGACAGTGGAAATCTTGAAATGCCCACAATTATTTCATGGAAAATTTAAGTCCCTGAAATGCATGGATTTACCTTCTTAATAACATGATACTTCTGCCCCCAAACTATTACTTGTATATGATCTAGTGACAATAGTGATTACAATATTTTCTATAGAAAGATTTTACTATTTAAGCCCTCAAAGTGACTTGTTTTTATTTGGGAAAAAAAACAAAACAAAACAAAAAAGGAAAATAAAACCCCATATAATCTTGTAGTAGCCAAGTGTTTTTCACTTTCCATTTATTTTCTTTTTAAAGTACTATGTATGTGAAGTCACTACTAGTTACTCTACCGAAGTTCTAAAATCATGGTTAATTTTTAAAAAATAATTATTGCCTTGAAGGTCAAAAAATGGTGATTCAGAGTCGAAAGAAGAGCATATGATAGATCTGAACTACTGTTATATCATCATTCATTTGGTCAACCACTTCTAGCTTCTGGATGTGGTTGATTTTGACAGTTAATGAATTCAGTTATTCTTCACATTTACTCAATGACTGTCATTGTAAATACCCATTACAATAATCCATTTTCAGTCTATACCTGAGTTTTGACTGAAACTGAAACTCTTTTCTAATAACATTTTTCATAAGCATCAATGGATAAAAAACTGCCAACAGTTTAATGAAGTGGAAACCATTTCTGAGTCAAGACTGTAATGTAGTTATATTTAATACCAGACCACATATTTAAATATTTAAACCCTCACTTAGGGCACATTTTCCTCCTATATGCATAAGAAAGAAACAAGTATGTATGGCTGGCAGTGAATGTGATGAAGGGAAATCATTCTTCAAACATAGTAAACCTATTATTATTATCAAAAGTAGAGGTAGAACAATGTTATAGGTACTCTTGACTCCCTACCCTGGCACTTTAGCATACGTGGTACCATTATGGCTGGCACCCCTTTCTCTTCAGAGCCTTAGACTCAGCTCACCTCAATGACTGAAGTTATTTGCATGAGATAAATTACTCATTTAACCGACTTGCTTTTCCACTAGGGTCCACAATTTTAGATATAAGCTGCATTCTCATACTAGTGAGATGTGCCTTTGAGATAGTGGTACTTACAGAGAGTAATGAGTACTACAATGCTGATTGCCCAGGTGCAAATCCTGACTCCACTCTATTCTGTGCCTCAATATCCTCATCTGCAAAATGAGATTGCAATGCCTAGTTTCTCTTTTTAAAATTCTTACCCAAGAACATTTTTGTATTTATCTGCAGATAGAGCAGAGGAAGAGAGAAACATCTATTCAAGAGAGACACACTGAGTGGTTGCCACCCACACGACTCTAACAGGGGCCAGGGACAAAGGAGGTACATGCCCTTAGGGGGAACCCAACCCGACGACTCTCTGGTCTGTGGGCCAATGCTCTAACTGCTGAGCTGAGCCAAATCAGCCAGGACTGCAATATATATATATATATATATATATATATATATATATATATATATATATATATTTTTTTTAATCCTCACCCGAGGACATTTTTCCTCAGATAGAGTTGGGGAGAGAGAGAGGAACATCGACGTGAAAGGGACACATTGAGTGGCTGCCACCCACACAACCCAACCAGGGACCAGGGCCGGGACAAACTGCAACGGAGGTTCGCATCCTAGCAGGAACCGAACGCTGGTCTCTCTGGACTGCAGGTCGAAGCTCTAACCGCTGAGCCAAACCGGCCAGGGCTGCAATGCCTACTTCTTAAGGGTGGTTTTAAGAATTACAAGTTAATATGTAAAACTATTACAGTATTTAAGCTTAGAAGATGAAAATAGTTTTAATTCCTCCAGTGCTTTTCCAACAAGATGTTGTCAAGAGTATCATCTTGGAATTCCTACTAATAATTTTCTATTGACCTTGGACAAGTCATTTCACTTCTCTTGGCCTCATTTTCATATCCAGGGTCTTAAACAATGCTTGAAAAGTAATAAATCCTCTAAGATAGTTTCAGTGGATGTTGTGGAATGAACACACTGCAAAATGAGGATATTTGAGCAAATGGTTTGCCAAGACACTTTCTAGTTTTAATACTTCATATAATTCATTATCTCCCAGTATGACTGTGAGGAATAAATGAAATGCAATTAATCGGCTAACTGCATTGGAAACCCTACTGCAGAACACCATACCATTTGCTAAAAAAATTTTGGAAAATATCTACACAAAATATCACATCCTTTGCTGTGATAATTAATCCAGTATTATCTCTGCCAATATTGGATTTAGAGGCTTCAGAAGAAGAAATACACGTTTATTTTGTACAATACGGCTGTCAGTGTCCGAGAGTCCCCAGCGGGCAGGACCTGGGGCCTGCGCCCTCAGAGCAGCAGGAGGGAGCCCAGCAGCAGCTCTCCCTGGCCCAGCAGGCGGCCCCGCTCCCAGCCAAGGCCCTTGTTCTCGGCCTTGACGCGCACGGCCAGGCGGCGCACCTCGTCCTCCGAGAGCCCGTCGAAGCAGAAGTCCTGGTCGAAGGCGGCCTTGCGGCTCCGCCGGAGCACGGCGCTGCGCTGCTGGCGCGTCTTGCCCGGAGGCTGCAGGACCAGGCTGACGCGGCAGCCGACGGCGCGGGGCTCGGCGGCTCCTCCGGCCGGGCCCTCGGGGCGGAGCAGCCGGATGCGGAGGCGCCCGCTGGCCGGGCTGTACTCTGCCGCCAGGCGCAGGGCGCCGCCGGCGCGACCCAGAGTCACGGTGCCCTCGGCTTCCAGGAGCTCAGGCCGCGGGCCGGGGGACGACGGAGGGGACGTGGAGAGGGTCAGGGCCGGGAACCCCGAGTTGGCTCTGCGTTGCTCGCCCTCGTCCCCGCTGGACACAGAGCGGGCGCGGGCCAGGCCACGGCTCCTCCGGGCCCTTAGCGCGCGGCTCAGCAGCCCTTCGGGGCCGCGCAGGAGGCGGTGGCCGCGGGGCCGCAGGGAGAGCGAGTTCCGGGGCGGGAGGGTGTCTCCGGGGATTGCGGGGAAAGGGGCTCCGCCAGGGACCCCGAGTGGCGCGTCTCCTCCTCTGCGGCCGCTGTAGGTGTGGGCTCGAGCGCGGGGCGCGGACCGGGCGGCGGGCGGCAGCAGGAGCGTGGCGGCTCCGGGGTCCCCGAGAAAGAGCGACTCCTTTCGGCGGGTGTGCGGGCTCTCGAGCAGCGCGCAGAAGCCGTAGGCGGTGCGCGCGCGGGGCAAGTGGGGCAGCGAGAGCGCGGCCTGCGAGCGTGGGTCCCAGTCCGTGCGCTCCGAGCGGTCTTCAGTTCCTGCTTTTTTGACCCATGAGTCCCGGATTGCAGCCAGGGTGGGGCAGGGTGCGAATCGCGGGGGGATGCAGAACTCAGGGATGCGGTCTGGGGTGAGCACGTTTGCGCACGTGGCGGGCATGAAGGCAGTGGTTCGGCTATTCCGACCTTGGAGACGTCGGTTCCCGCCCCGAAGGAGGCGCTCGGGACCCAAGCGGAGCCGCTCCAGGCACCACATCAGGCGGCAGGTGCCGGATCTGGGCCACCCTCTGCTGGAGCTGGTCAGTCTGCAATGCACAAGCGCACACGGGTCGTCAGAGTGAGCCCCTCAGGACACAGTAGTTCCTATCTCTACTACTTTTGGGGTGCTTTCTCTTACCTCCCTCGGGACTAGGCAAATTGTCTGCCCCGTCCCCCCTGTCTCCCCGTCCCTTTCCCCCATTCGGCTATTGGAAACTATGTTTCAGTGTCTGACAATCTTGCTTCATTTGCCCTGTCTCCTTTCCCTAGTCACGAACACTTCGGGGTTTATTGCTTTCATCTCAATCCAGCGTAGCTGGTTTAAGGTGGAGATTCTCAAAACGTTGGCTTTGCACTATCCTCTATGCTTGTGCAATCCTTTCCTGAATCCTTGGATTATTGCACTAGTCCTCAGAATTAAAATAATTACCCCTTCCAGGGCGTTCAGCTTTGTGTTCCTTTTTAGGCTCAAGGAGCCGCAAACGAGTACTGGGGAGTTAAGCAAGGCTTTGGGTCCCACTGAATGTACCTGAGGTCCAGCGCCAGATGGATCTCGCACGGTTCTGCCTGGGACACTGACCAGGAGGGGCGCAGGGGCGCGTAGCCTCTGGGAAATTCAAAGAGCGTGCGGCAGGGTTCAGTACAGCAGTCCCAGGACTGCCGGCCTGAGCCTTTATACCTGGGGCCCGGAACGCCCGTGGGTGGGAGGGCGGGAGCGACGCTGCTTGGTAATCGGACTCCAGGCCTCCCCGCACCCGCGCTGTCTCTGCCACGTGGCTGGTTCTACTTCGCAAATTCAAAAGATCCAGTTCTCTTTCTCTCCTGCTTGGGGTGGGGATGTTATCCTCAGAAACCCCGAACATGTTTCTATTTCCTCACGTGCAAAAAGAGTTAAATCTTTACTATGTCGCAGAGTCATTGCGAGGATCTAGGGACACAACGTAAATGCACAGCACTCTACGCCCACCACTAAGAGAAGATAAAAGTCGGGTTTGTCTAATTCTTACCTAACCGTTTCCAAATTCGGCCATTCTGTGCCCAGCTTTCCAAGTTCCTTAACTTGCTTTATGATTTTCTGTTCTGATTTAAGTGTTTTTTCTTTGTTGATCACTCTGGGTACAGGGAACCTTATGGGGTGCTGAAATATTCCACATCTTGATCTGTGTGTGGTTAGAGGGGTGTATCCCTATGTAAAAAAAAAATCTGGCATACATTAATGATTACATATAAAAATATGTATTGTATAACTATTTTAAAACAAATCTCACAACCCACTTTTTAAGCCATGTTGTGCTGTTTTTTGTTGTTGCTGTGATGATTAGAAAAAAAAATTATTTTACCCTCACCCGAAGATATATGTGGTTTTTTATAAACTGATTTGAGAGAAAGAGGAAGGGAGAGAGATAAACATTATATGAGAAAGCAAACATCTATCTGTTGCCTTCTGTAGTCGCCCCCACCAGAAATAGAACCTGAAACCTGGTATGTGCCCTGACCAGGAATGGAACCTGCCATCTTTTGGTGTAGGGACAACACTCCAACCAACTGAACCACACCAGCCAGGGTGGTATGTGCTGATTTTTGATTGGGAAAATATATTCCTGAATACAACTGGGCTGCTGCCTTTGGAGGCGCCCTGACCACATCTGGCTTTTCAGGCTGTTCCCACCTAAAAGACCTTTTTGATTCCTTTTGAAGTTTACATGTGTTAATTCTGTAAGAGAGCTGTTTCCAGCTAACCCAGATTAAGAGATCTGAGGCATTGTGTTCAGCGTTTGGGTGTATGTTAGTTAGTTCTGTCTATGATACTGCCTTGTAAATTAGTTGCTTCTCCAAATAATTTTTCATAAATTAAATTAAATTCATGCATAGAAGCAGTGATCATTATTGTTAATAAAAATAGAAGTGAGGATGTAGAATGTAGTGATTATGAAAACTGGGTCTGAAATCAGATCTAGTTTTGATGCTAGAATGATATCTTCCTATGTGACCTTGAGCAAGTTATTTAACCTTTGTAAGCCACAGTATCAAAGGTAAAATTAGGAGGTGGAGCCTTTGGGGGGTAATGGGATTAGTGGCCTTATAAGAGAGACCCATCATCATAATAATGACATCTACATGTAGAATCGTGTGAGTATATAATAAGACAAAGCATAGAGAGTTTAGCATAGAGCCTGACATACAGAGACAGATATATTTATTATTGTTACAGAAGAGAGCAAATGTTCATTAGTTCATTTATTCATTCAAAGCAATATTTATTGAATGCTTCCTGAGTTCCAGCCACCAAGCTAGGCAGGTGGATCCAGGCTATACAAGATCATATCAACTATATACCTCTCTCAGAAGAGGAATAAAATGACAAGGACAGCCCTGGATGGTTTGGCTCAGTGGTTAGAGGTTGGCCTGCGGTCTGGAGAGACCTGGGTTTGGTTCCCACTAAGGGCACGTACCTCAGTTGCAGTTTGTCCTCGGCCCTGGTTGGGTCGTGCGGGTGGCAACCACTCGATGTGTCCCTTTCATGTTGATGTTTCTCTCTCTCTCTCTCTCCCTCCCACTCTATCTGAACAAAATATGGAAAAATGTCCTCGGGTGAGGATAAAAAAATAAAATAAAAGGATGAGGACAAAATATTTTAATTCCATGTGGCAAAAGCAGGAATAAGAGGGGACTACTGGACATTATTTAGTCTGGGGGGCAGGGTTAGTAGGTCCCTGGGTTTACCATGACCTTGACTAGCTACTTAAGGTCTTTATATTATTTCCACTCCTGGCTAAAATTCTAGAGCCAGTGCTAAACCTATGGGAGAATAATAATTGTGGGTCTCATGCATGTGTTTTGACTTTTCTTAGGAGACAAGATGCTGTTGCTTTGCAAGTAAGAGCCCAGAGAACGCTTGGTTAAAATGCTGAAACTCGCAATCTGAGTAGCTGGCTGAGAAGTTAAGAAAGCTAGTTTGTGATGGCAGAAAGGAAAAAAAAGCACCAGGGCATGAGAAATGATGTAGAGGGAAGAAATGTATACTTTGGAGTAAATCTGACCTAGGTTCGAATCTATTATGCAACTTTTTAGCTATAGGACTGTGGGCAATTTAATTAACCTCTTTGAGCTCATGCTGTAGAATGGAGGTAATAATACCTATCACATGAGATTGTTGTGAGAGTTAAAAATGCTTGAAATCCCTCTCATATAGTGAGTGCTAGCTAACAGTTGCCTGTTATTATTATAAAGGTTTGCTTGGCCAGGGATTAGCTGATTCACACATACATTCCTTTAAAAACAATTCTCTTCTTGGCCACACAAAGCAGATTTGCTCTATTTTTGTGAACAATTCATCTTCCTCAATAACACTTTAGAAGCATTTCCTGTATAAGATTTCTTGAAAACAGCAGAGATGTGCCCTTGCATGGCTGGTCCTCTGTGACCACATTAAGTCCTATGTTTAACTTTCTATGAAAACACGAGCCATGCGGTACTTGGGAGGATGGTATAACAGGGTGAGGCCCTGTGCCTGAAACACACAAATCTACTCAGAGGAAGACTGCGGTCATTCTGAGCTCACAGAGATAGCCATGGGGACATCCAGTAATGGAGCCGGCAAACAACGTTGTGAAGTGAGTGTCAACAGATCACCAACCATGGAGCCCAGAGGTGTTCTCAGAGTAGAAGGAAACTGAATAATTTCAAGCAGGCTTAAAAGAAGAATAATATAGCCCTGGACAGTTTGGCGTAGCGGTTGGAGCGTCGGCCTGTGGACCAGAGAGTTCCGGGTTTGGTTCCCGCTAGGGGCAGGTACCAAAAAAAAAAAAATAATAATAATAATATATAGGAGGTTGGATGCCAAAGAAAGCAAGAAGAAAGTTTACAACCCAATAAAATACTATTCTTCTGATTTATCTATCTCATTCAACAGGATTAGCGTATGGAATAATGGAAAGAATGTAGGCCAGAAGTCAGGACTCTTAGGTTTTAGCTTTGACTGGTCACTAACTTGCGGGACTTTGGCAAGTCCCTTAATTCTATCTTGCAGTCAGTGTTTCCATCTGTCAAAAAAGAGGGTTCTATTAATCAGATGATATTTGTTTTACCCTGGCTCTAACACTTGCAATCCACTCCCATTCTTTCTCCCACTTAACCTTCTTAACTTTTCTGTGGTGTTATGCTTATGCTCCAGCTTTCTCCCCTCTACCTGCCACCCCCCACCCCTGCCCAGTTGCTTTTCTTAACAACTCCAGGGTTGGAGAATGGGTTTCAGGTAAGGGGTAGTGTGGAGTTAGAATTTCTTAGTTTTCTATTTTTAAACAAGAGTTGTTATTTTTATTTATTTATTTATTTTTACTTTTCGTTAATCCCCACTTGAGGATATTTTTGCATTGATTTTTAGATAGAGTGGAAGGGAGGGAGGGACTGCAAGAGAGAGAGAGATTAATATGATAGAGACACATAGACTGGTTGCTTCCTGCACCACCCTGACCAAGGCCAGGGATCAAACCTGCAATCCAGGTATGTGCCCTTGACTGGCAATCGAACCCATGACCCTTCATTCCACATGCCAACACTCTTAACTGCTGAGCTAAACCAGCCAGGGCTATTTATTTTTATTTTTTAAGTGCCATACATTTCTGAATATTGATTTTGTATCCCGTAATTTGGCCAAATTGATTTATTAGATCTAGTAGTTTTTTGGTGGAGTCTTTAGGGTTTTCTATATACAATATCATGTCATCTGCAAATAATGACAGTTTTACTTCCTCTTTTCCAATGTGGATGCCTATTATTTCTTCTTCTTGTCTGATCGCTATTGCTAAATCTTCCAGTTGAATAAGAATGGTGAAAGCAGATATCCTCATTTTGTTCTTGATCTTAAGGGAAATGCTTTTAGTTTTTGCCCATTGAATATGATGTTGGCTGTAGGTTTTTCATATATAGCCTTTATTATGTTGAGGTATGATCCCTCTATTCCCACTTTGCTGAAAGTTTTTATCATAAATGGGCGCT